AAATAAAAATAAAATAAAATAAAAAAATAAAAAATAAAAATGAAATATTTTCACTTTACCTTACTAAAACTGTACAATAAAAGCAGTTACCAAGTAAGAATTACATTTACAATGTTCAGTCCATTTGTATTTTTCAATTTCAGAGAAAACACTCCATGATCCATCCCATTTTAGTGACTGCAAAGTTTGACACTTTGCTTACTTGCTATCATACCTAAAGTAAAGTGAAACTCTAATTATTTAGTCTTTACCTACATCCTAGACCCGAGATGCAATTAATATTCCCTAACAGAGACACTGAGCTACCTGAACATTCAACCAAAGTTCTTTTCCAACATTAAACCATCCATTTTCAAAATACAGAAATACTTTTCTCAGAAGTGGGGAATTTGAAGGACTTTCCTTGTAGTGGCCAGGCTCAATCAATTACTTTTCTCTGAATCCTGCAAAATGCCTGGCCATCTCTTCTGTGAAGCAGAAATCACAGAGCATTGTTCTGACTTGTTTTGAAAATGTTCAGCAATCACTTTCCTATTGGTCCTACATATAAAATCTGCACAGAACACTGTTGAGCAGCCCAAAGTAGTAGCAGTTTTTTTTTTCCTCACCCAGTGATTAGGCTTGCCAGAATGAAAGTGGAGTTTCTTCAATACCCATCATTTTTAAGCAAGAAAATAACATATTCTGTACATCTTTTAAGTGTTTGGAAACCTTTTGTCTATCTAAATATATCTTGGTAGGACTCTGGAAATATTCCTAACATTATATTTTATTGTTATAAGTGTTTAATTGTAGAAGGAGCTGTGGGCTGCTAGGCTCCCGCACAGCTAGCTTTATACCCAAAATAACAACACACCTGGCCCATTAGTTCTAGCCTCTTCTTGTCTAACTCTCATATCTTGATTAACCCATTTCTATTAATGTATGTAGCACCACAAGGTGGTGGCTTACCGGGCAAGATTCAGCATGTCTGACCTGATGGCTGGATCCATGGCATCTGGCCCAGAGAGGAGAGGCATGGCATCTGGCCAACTTCCCTTCTTCCCAGCATTATGTTCTGTTTACTCCACTCACCTATGTTCTCACCTATCATACCAATTTATTCTTTATTAATTATCCAATGAAAGCAACAGATAGACAAATGACCTTCCCACATCATTTAACTACTAATTTGAGTTTCCAGATTATCCTAGTTTATAATAGTAGCTTTCAAAAACTTGAACCTTATCTTATACTTTTAAATGTGTTTTATAGATACCATACCTTAAATAATAATAAAAATATATATGCACTATAATAAAATAACTTAAATACCAAAATACAGGTATCTATAGCTTACCAAAATCCAAAGCCTATCATATTTCATCTGCTGGAAATGTGGGTGTCATGTTCTCTGGATTACTTCTTGATAAATAGGGGTGAAGACATCTTTAGGGTTCCCTGAGAAAATTTGAGATAATGTCCAAGTAGTTGGGAGAGCATCTATAATCTTTATTGATAGTCATCACTTGTCAATATTCAGGAGGTCTTCCCTGATTAAACCTGATCAATGTCATTCCTTAAAAAAAAAAAATCCATAGAATTTAGTTTGCTATGGAAACAAAGGCAAAATCTATTCTCAAAAATATTTTTATATCCATTTAACAGATACATTTGACTCATATTTTAAAATTAAAATAATGTAACAACAAAAGACCAAATCATCTAACAAAAATCGGCTACACTCCTAAACAGAAAACTCTGAGCAGATGAATCTCAAAGGGCTGCGGGACACATAAGCAAGTGCTCAGCATGCTTAACTATCAGAGAAATGCAAATCAAAACAGCTCTGAGATTCGATCTTACACCTGTCAGAATGGTGAAGAACAAAAACTCTGATGAAAGCTTATGCTGGAAAGGATGTGGGATGAGGACAACAGTCCTCCATTGGTGGTCTTGTAAACTTGTACAATTGCTTTGGAAATCAGTATGGTGGTTTCTCAGTTAATTAGGAAACAATTTACCCCAAGACCCAGCAATATCGCTGTTGAGTATATAACCAAATGACATTCAAGTATATGACAAGAACATGTGCTCAACTCTGTTTATAGCAGCATTATTTGTAATAGCCAGAACCTGGAAAAAACCTATGGTGTGGGAAGAGCTTTTGTATATGTGCTACTTTTATTGGTTAATGAATAAAGAAGTTGTTTTGGCCAATAGCTTAACAGAATAGAGCTAGACGGGGGAAAACTAAACTAAATGCTGTGAGAAAAAAAGTGGAGTCAGAAAGACACCATGGAGCCACCAGAGGAGGAAGATGTAAGCCACCACCTAAAAGCATGCTGATAGATCATGACCCTTATGGTAGAATAAAAAATAATAAAAATTGGTTAATTTAAGAGATTAGAGTAAGCTAAAAATACACTTAAGATATTGGTCAAGCAGTATTTCAAATAATATTGTTTCTGAGTGTTTAATTTGGTGCTGAGCATCTGGGAACCAACTAAATGCTTCCACCAACAAACCTAGATGCCCCTTAACCAAAGAATAGATGAAGAAAATGTGATACTTTTAAACAATGGAGTACTACACAAAGGTAAATTTTAATGGCATCTTGAAATTTGCAGGCAAATGGATGGATCTAGAAAAAACATATTGAGTGTGGTAACCCAGACCCAGAAAGACAAATATAATATGTATTCACTCAAAAGTGGTTCTTAGTCATAAAGCAAAGAAAATCCAGCCTAGAATCTACAACCCTGGATAAACTAGACAACAGAAGTCCCTAAGAAAGACATACATGAATCTACATAAGGTCGTGGAAAAGACAAGATTTCTGAGTAAATCAGGAGTGTGAGGGTCACCGGGGAGAGTAGGAGTGAGGAGTAGAAAGGAGGGGAGGGGAGAAAATTGTAAAGCTCAATAAAAACAATAGTAACAAAATGATAACCCAAAATACCTAAATTGTTTCAATTTTGTAGTGCTGTTTATAATACCATGTCTTCCACCAGCTATCTGGTGCCCATCAGCCATCAAAAAGGTCAGAGTCAACACAATACAATACAGGATCTTGACTCCTTGTGTATTTCCCATCATTACATGACTTTTAAAATTTCTATTAGTGTGATTATCTTTTTAAAGACGTTACTATTTTTTAAATCTATTTCTATAAATGTCTGTACCTATTGTCTTTGCTTTTTTTTGTTTGTTTGTTTTGTTTTGTTTTGTTTTTTGTTTTTTCGAGACAGAGCTAGTTCCAGGACAGGCTCCAAAGCCACAGAGAAAACCTTGTCTTTGCTTTTTAAAGCCTATGCAAATTGTAAAATACACTGGAAATATTTTACGGGTTTTTTTCAATCTGAACCTGTTTAACTGAATATCATTTTGCCTTTTTAAAAGAAGATTTATTTATTTATTATGTATACAACATTCTGCCTCAATATATGACCGCACGCCAGAGGAGGGCGCTAGATCTCAGTAGAGGTGGTTGCTGGGAATTGAACTCAGGACCTCTGGAAGAGCAGCCAATGCTCTTAACTTCTGAGCCATCTCTCCAGCCCCCTCATTTTGCCTTTTTGAAAACATAAGCCTTTAAACTACTGTGCAGCATTGAGCCCCACTGGTAACTTTGACTGCAGTCTCTTCCTGCTTCTCTGTTCGTGAAAACTAACCACTAAGCTTGCAGCCATGTAGAAAGTGTGCTTCAGGAACTACATTCTCCTTTTATATTTCTGGAAATCTGATTCTTGTGCTGCTTGCAGACTTTTTATGGTTAAAATTTTCATGTGCCCGCTACTCAAGGGCTTCTTTTGTAAGGCAGAAACATCTTTACATATTCTTTCTTTTTTTCTTTATTAAAAATTTCTATCTCCTCCCCTCCTCCCATTTCCTTCCCACTCTCCCCTCTCCCTCCCCCCCTCTCCAGTCCTAAGAGAAGTCTGGGTGTGCTGCCCTGTGGGAAGTCCAAGGTCCTGACCCCTCCATCCAGGTCTAGGAAGGTGAGCATCCAAACAGACTAGGCTCCCACAAGGCGAGCCCATGCTGTAGAATCAAAACCCAGTGCCATTGTCCTTGGCTTCTCTGTCACCCCTCATTGTCAGCCACATTCAGAGAGTCCGGTTTGATCACATGCTCCATTAGTCCCAGTCCATCTGGACTTGGTGAGCTCCCATTAGATCAGCCCCACTGTCTCAGTGAGTGGGAGCAACACTCGTGGTCCTGACTTCCTTGCTCATGTTCTCCCTCATTCTGCTCCTCATTTGGACCTTGGGAGCTCAGTCCAGTGCTCCAATGTGGGTCTCTGTCTCTATCTCCATGCATCACCAGATGAAGGTTCTATGGTGATATGCAAGATATTCATCAGTGTGGCAATAGGATAAAGCCAGTTCAGGTGCCCTCTCCTCTGCTGCACAAGAAACAAGCTGTGGACATCTCCTTGGACACCTGGGAACCCCTCTAGAGTCAAGTCTCTTGCCAACCCTAAAATGTTTCCCTTAAGTAAGATATCTACTTCCCTGCTCTCATATCCACCCTTCCTCTATCTCAACCTTCCCATTCTCCCAAGCTCTCCCCATCCTCCCCTTCTCTCTTCTCTCTCCCCATCTCCCCTTCCTCCTACCCCACCCCCATCCTCGTGCTCTGAACTTTTGCCTGGCAATCTTGTCTACTTCCAATATCCAGGAGGATAACTATATGTTATTCTTTGGGTTCACCTTCTTATTTAGCTTCTCTAGAATCACGAATTATAGGCTCAATGTCCTTTATTTATGGCTAGAATCCACTTATGAGTGAGTACATACCATATTCATCTTTTGGGGTCTGGGTTATCTCACTCAGTAAAGTGTTTTCTGTTTCCAACCATTTGCATGCAACATTCAAGATTTCGTTGTTTTTTTACTGCTGAGTAAAACTCTAAAGTGTATATGTGCCACACCTTCTTTATCCATTCTTCTATTGAGGGGCACCTAAGTTGTTTCCGGATTCTGGCTATTACAAATAGTGCCGCTATGAACATAGTTAAACAAATGCTTTTGTAGTGTGATTGGGCATCTCTTGGGTGTATTCCCAAGAATGGAATTGCTTGGTCCTGAGGTAGGTTGACTCCCAGTTTCCTGAGGAACCACCACACTGATTTCCAAAGTGGTTGCACAAGTTTGCATTCCCACCAGAAATGGATGAGTGTTCCCCTTACTCTACATCCTTTCCAGCATAGGCTATCATTGGTGTTTTTGATTTTAGCTATTCTGACAAGTGTATGATGGTATCTCAGATTTGTTTTGTTTTGGATTTCCCTGATCGCTAAAAAGGTTGAGTATGACCTTAAGTGTCTTTTGGCCATTTGAACTTCTTCTGTTGAGAATTCTATGTTCAGTTTAGAATTAAAAACCCATTTTTTAATTGGGTTAATTAGAGTCTTAATGTCTAGTTTGTTGAGTTCTTTATATATTTTGGAGATCAGACCTTTGTCTGATGCGGGGTTGGTGAAGATCTTCTCCCAATCAGTAGGTTGCCTTTTTGTCTTAATGACAGTGTCCTTTGCATTACAGAATCTTCTCAGTTTCAGGAAGTCCCATTTATTCATTGTTGCTCTTATTGTCTGTGCTACTGGGGTTCTACATAGGAAGTGGTCTTCTGTGTACATGTGTTGCAGTCTACTTCCCACTTAATCTTCTATCAGGTTCAGTGTGGTCAGATTAATACTGATATTAACACACAAACCTATGAACACCTATTTTCGACATAGGAGCTAAAATTATAAAATGGAAATTTCTTTATTGTATATGAGAATTTTCCTGTATATATATATATATATACACATGCACCGTGTGGGTACCTGATTCTCACAGAGGTCAAAACATGATCCCAGAAAACCAGAGCTTGTTCTAATATATAGTTGTGATTCCCTTTTCAGTACAGACAATTGAACACACCTATATGCAAGCCAGCGAGTTCTCCTTTTTAGCCCTCTTTCCTGCCCTGTGTTGATTACTTGGTATCAACATTTATATATAACTTTTTAACTTAAATACACAGTTCCTTTAGTTAAGCTTTTTATGTTATAGTTTAAATTAGCATACTTCAGGTTTCTGGAAGATGAATACAGAGCGGGAGTTAATGCATAATGCTTCATAGGAGTTTCACCCAACACCTATGTATTTTTCTGTGAATTTTTGTTTGTTTTTTGTTTTGGTTTTTGCTGGTTTTGCATAGATAATAGGTTCTTAATATTTAATCCTGACTGTCCTGGACATGATTAATAAACTTGTACAGCATTTAAATTGGAGGCCTCTGCCTTCTGAGTGCTGGAATTAAAGGCATGAGTCTTTACCCTTCTTGTTCTTCATTTTTGTATTCAGTAATTAATTGTTCATTCAATTTTTCCTATGTGTTCTCTGTACTTCTGATCTGTTTACTTGTCTCTCTATGTTTGTTTATAGGCATTTTTCTTGCAGGTGATATTCCATTCAGGGGTATAGAAATGATAGAGGTGGACATTATCCTATTTAGTTTCCTTCAAAAGTTACTTGGTGACTGAATTAAAATATCTATGGTATGGAATAATTGGGGGTCAGCCGCAAAATTATATGCGTATACTGTCAAAGAATTATACATTTACAATGTTGTCATCATCATGCTTTCTATTGTACATGTATATTGGAAATTTTAGAATGCAGTGACCTATGATGATGTGCATATTGATTTTACGTGGGAAGAATGGACTTTGCTGAATCCTTCCCAGAAGAATCTCTACAAAGATGTTATGCTGGAGACCTACGGGAATCTCACTATTATAGGTAAGACTGAATTTCCTCTTATGATTCAAAATAGGGGGACAACAATTCATTGTTTATTGATGTTCTTATCTAATTGTGATTAAGAAAGGAGAACCATTGATTGAATAAATCAGGCATGATTCTAAGGTTCAGGGAAGAGAGTAACTAAAATTTTACATAATTTTCAATATTACATATATTTTCTGATATTATATTTTAGGATACACTTGGGAAGATCATAATATTGAAAATCATTCTCAATGGTCTAGAAGATATGAAAGGTAACTTTCATGGGCAAGCTGATACAAATGCTCTTTCTCCATCCAAAGAATCTGCATGATGACGTGTACTGCCTGAACCTCTGCCCAATGTGAAGATTCCCCTTTATCAGTTTCTTACAAGGTTGCTTCAGAAGTATTGAAATGCGACACCTGTCCACTTTTGGACCTAAATGACATACAGAACCATCATCATTAAACCAGGCTCTTGTCTTCTCCTCCTCAGTCAACCAATCATAAGAAACACCCCAAGAGACTATGGGTGCATGCTTGACATCAGAAGCAATGTAATGGGTGTAGAAACCCTATGTATTTGGACAACTTCTTCATATAGCTTGCTTGTGCCTTCAGAAACTGGTTGAGCCTGATCTCTTATATACCACTTCCATTTGATAACTGATTGTTGCTGTGCATGTCTTATGTTATGGGTCCAATAACACCCAGAGTATGATGGACAATTTATATCAGACTGTTAGGTGGTGGACCAATGTCAAATGTTCAGTCTCTCCCACAAGCTGGGAATAATGGCTTGTCACATGCTTAGGCTTTTTTATTTTTGAAAATGAATCTTAGGGCACCAATGGCAGACACTTAAATTTACTTTGAGAGTTATTGTATTGTCCTGTCCCTACTCTCCAAGGATCCTTTTCTTGTACGTTATTCAGTTTTCTATGGGTGGGTGCGTGTGCGTGTATGTTTGTGTGTGTGTGTATATAGACAATTTAGCAAGGCTTTAGTACTCCCACTGACCTTTCTGCCTCTGCTTTAGTGATATATCGTATGTATTTTAATGAATAAATCTTGCCTGAAAATCAGAATATAAAACAGCCAATGCAGTGGTGGCACAAAACTTTCATTCCAGCAGCGACCCTAGTTAGCAAGAGGCCAGGTGGTGATGGTGTATGCCACCTATTGACACAAAAAAGTGGAAATATAGTGATATTTCATTTGTATTTTATTTTCTAGAGCTTGCCTGAAGATCAGAACACAAAACAGCCACACTATTCAGCCATACAGACTAGGCAGTTGTAGCACTCTACTTTAATCACAGCAGCCACACTTATTAGTCATAGAGCCTGGGTGGTGGTGGTGCACACCTTTCTCCCAGTGTTAGAGAGGAACATGAAGCAGGATGAAAGAGGAACTCACTCTCTTTCAGTCTGAATATTTCACAAAGGTAAAACTCTCTAGTAGCTTGGCTGTTTTGTTTTTCTGATGATCAGGTCGAACCCCTGTGTGTTTATTATTCATGCTACACTCTGTGTCCAGATAACTGGTACTAAAAGAATGCACTAGCTGGACTAGAGAGATGGCTCAGTGGTTAAGAGCATTGCCTGCTCTTCCAAAGGTCCTGAGTTCATTTCCAGGCAACAACATGGTGGCTCACAACCATCTGTAATGACGTCTGGTGCCCTCTTCTGGCCTATAGACATACACACAGAATATTGTAGAATATATATATATATATATATATATATAAAGAGAGAGAGAGAGAGAGAGAGAGAGAGAGAGAGAGAGAGAATGCACTATCACCCAGAGCTTGAATATCAAGTTTTATCTTGCAAGTCTCTTCTTCTTATGGTGACCAGAGAGGCCCAGAGAGGGTGTATGAATCCTATTTACCAGAGTTACAGATTGTAATGCGAGTCTATATAAACTTAGAGTGGAAGATGGATGCTCTGAAAGAATCTTCAGAGCACATAACTCCTAAAGTATTTGCCACCCTGTTTTATATACTTGATTTTCTTTCATGTATAAGCCAACCTAATCAGAGTCAGCCATCTGATGCTGGTTAAAGAGTAGAATTCTTCTCCCTTTGAGATAATTAGCCTCAGGCAAGGATAAACTCCCCAACTCTTTATCCAATTCAGCCTGCTGAGACCATTATCCATATATTTACATATTCAACAAAATGGATACAGCAAGTTATATTTGTGTATTTCAGTATATGTATTCACCCATACTTAACATGGAAGAAGTTGGAAAGGGAGAAATAGATGGACTGAAGAGATAAAAGGGGAATATCATGTAATATTTTTAATTAACAATTTATAGAAATACATTTCAAATAAAAGAGGGATAGATAGATGGCTCAACAATTAAGAAGTGCCCATAAGTCTATATCTCCTCATAGGCTGCTGCAGCCACTCAGGGAACTGTGCCTTCCCTACCGGGAACTTGTTACTCTCAGAACCCACTGCAGCTGCCTGCCCACATCACTCTCTGCCTGCCACTGGGGACCTGTAGCATTTTTGCCACTGCAACCACCAGCGATCTGCAGCATTTTTACTTAATCCATTACACCTATTATACACTCACCTATTATGAGTTCCAGGGCTACACAGATAAACCCTGTTTCAAAAAAAACAGGGAAAAAAGAATAAGATCCACCTGCAATCTGAACTGCATCTTCTGGTAGCAGCCGGCATATATTAAAGATATTGAAGAAGGAAGATCTCTCTCTTTGCCTGTTTGCATTATCTCTGGCTACAAGATCATTCCCTTACTATTATTAAAGCCTATTTCTTTGGAATTTTGCCATATACTGAAGACCAGCTGAGACATCCAGGATCATAGACTAAGCAACTACTGAACTCTTCGAATTTCCATTGGTAGGTAGCCATTGTTGGACTACCTTGACCACAGCTTGTAAGATATTCTAATAAATTCACATTCTACATACATGGAGAGATCATTATTTCTGTCCTCTTCATGTGGAGAACCTTGAAATTCAGTTGATTTTTTTGTTTGTTTATTTTTTCAATAAGATTTGCTGTCTAACAATAGTGATCATAAACGCATTCTTCCCATCTCCATTATTTGCTAAGTATTCAGGTTTCTGTGAAGATTACTGTTTTTATTAATATTCATTTGCCAAGTGTTTGCTCTGAATTTCAGGAATAAAACTCCTAGCATTGGAACCATCATTCAGCCTTCTGATTGGAGAAAGGCCTATGATTTTGTTTGAGATCTGGTTCCTCCTTTTCTTTCCTGGTTGTCTGAAGTCCCTGTGGAAACCCAGAAAAGAGTAACTTCAGTTTGTCTTAACTCAGCATGAAACCTCAGAACAAACCTCCCCTTTTGTGTCCTTAAATCTTTCTTTTAATGTTGATATTCTGGGCATCCTTCTACCTCTGTGACAGGAAATCATTCCACCCAAAATGTAGAGTGGGCTGTGCAATATTGTTAGCCACACAGTGTCCAGGAGGCAAAGGAAGTGCCTACAGGAAGATAGTAGGACCTGCTACTGGATCCAAAGTAAAGTGCTATTGAAATGCACTCCTCTGCTGACCTAGAAAAAGTCTTTGTCTGGCTTGGAAAGCGGGGCCACTAACAATTGTGCTTTGTCTTTAAGTACAGTCTAAACCTATGGGAGGCGCTCTTGTCAATCAGGCCTTGCTAGCCAATCAGGGACTCCGGTGACTCGCCAGTCATAAGTGACGTAGATACTTTCCCAGTGCCATTTTCAGGTTTGTCTTTGAAGATGAGCTGTTACCAGTGTTTGTGCTGTGCTGCAGATACTGCTACAGGGATTGGAGTGGAGAGCTTGGGCAAGCCCGGAAACCACGACGTGGTGAGTGAGAAGTTGCAGTCCCCAGATGGGGAGGTTCAGCAGGCAGTGTGGTGTGTCCTCCCCAGATGTGGGTGGAAACCTGCCTCCAGATTCCCTATCCTGTGAGGTCCCATGCAATCATTGCATTTCCCTAAATAGGACAGGCCTCTGAAAAACTTTGCTCCGTGTCCTGAAACTACTCAGAACCTTGAGAGCAGGGAGCTCTGTGTAGAAACATCTTTTTAGGCAATATCAACCTGATTTTGGCGCAGGTTGCCAAACTCGAAGAGGCTTCGTTTCTCCAGTATCTTTTAGATGTTCAGCACTGTGCATTTTTCCTTTATATGAAAGATCCATTTACTATTAATTTTGTGGAGGTTTTAAAGGGCATCTCGTGTTTGGTAGCACTCCGCTTCTATGCCGTGATGAAGAAGAGCTGAATTGGTAATATAAAGGATTACTAATGCTTAAGAAATAGTAAGTTTCACAAAGTAGAATTTAGCTGAGGGATGATTGCCTTTTATTTTATTTTATATATTTATTTATTTATTTTGGTTTTTCGAGACAGGGTTTCTCTGTAGCTTTGGAGTCTGTCCTGGCACTCGCTCTGTAGACCAGGCTGGCCTTGAACTCACAGAGATCCACCTGCCCCTGCCTCCCGAATACTGGAATTAAAGGCGGGATGATTGCCTTTTAAACACCCAAAAGATTTGTGTATGGTAATCAGACCTGTTAAAGATTAGGATACTAGAATACACATTGTTTTTAATAAAAATCTTTAGAAGATTTTAGAAAATTTTTAGAAGGTCTTTAGACTTGTGGAGAGTAAAATGGATGCTTAGGGTCCAGTTAGGTCTTAAATTGGGCTGCTAAGCCACCTAGGAAACTACTAAAACAATTAGACACCGCAGCCCAACCAACTAAATAAGAATGTTTTCAGGCCGGATGGTGGTGGCGCACGCCTTTAATCCCAGCACTTGGGAGGCAGAGGCAGGTGGATCTCTGTGAGTTCGAGACCAGCCTGGTCTACAAGAACTAGTTCCAGGACAGGCTCCAAAACCACAGAGAAACCCTGTCTCGAAAAAACAAACAAACAAAGAATGTTTTCAGGAGTGGGAGCAAAGTCTCAGTTTTTCAAAAGTGAACCCTGTGTGATCTGAACAGCAAACAAAGTTGAGACCTCTCTGGAGTCTTTTTCAGAAACCCTACCTCCAGGAAACCACTGTAGAGATTCAATTGGACATAGGAAAATGTGGTTCCCTTCAAAAGAACAATAAATGACAGAAAGATTTTGGTTTCACAAAGCACAGGAGGAATACTGGGATAGTCTCCACAATCAGATGCTAGCCTATGGCTTTCACCAAGTAGAATTTAGCTGAGGGGCGATTGCCTTTAAAACACCCAAAAGATTGCTATATGGTAATCAGGCCTGTTATAAATTAGGATGCTAGAATACACTTTTGTTTATCAGAATTTAGCAGACTTTTAATTTCAAACCTTTCACAGAAACCTCCCCTAGTTTACAACCAGGCATTTGCCTCATCTACATATCAAAGAGCAGCCTCTAACAAGCTACTCAAGGGAGCATTACAGGATGACTGCCAACCTTAAGACCTGGTGTGCCATAAAGTTCCAGTTTTCTTCTTGAAAAAGCATAGTTCTGCCAGATGGACAGTATAACACCAGGTGACATCTATTCAAAAATTAAACACTGTTCGGCCTGATCAACCAAGGCTTTTATAGGAATACAGTTCTGCAACTCCTTCCAGACTGGGTCTTGACAAGTCAATGAGAAGAAAAATGAGACCAGTTCCTGCTCTTAATGACCAGTCACAGTGGTGTGATTCACTGAAGTTTTATTCCAGGGAACAAAAAGAATCAGATCTGCAGAGATTTCTCAGGTGTGCATGGTGCTGGAAAGGTAGATAGGTCAGAATCCAAATCTTGTGCCTTAATCCATGTGGCAGGATCAGATTTTAAATTATTCTTCTAGGTTGTTTTGGAGCTGGGCATCAGTGGGGCTGCATTAACTTCTTCCACAAGGTGTAATACGGGGCTGCAGAGTCAGAGCAAGAGATCTATCACCTCCATCTGCAGAGAACGCTAGAACGTAGGCTTCTATCTTTTTAAGAAATATTGTAGCTGGAGGGACAGAAACAATAGTTTAAGGGTCAGTTTGAGTTAATTTTTTAAAAGGTATGAAGTTTGTGTTTCTTTAATTTCTACATGTTGCACCCAGGGCCTAAACCCTCCAAACCACCAAGAGACCACATCTGATGTAAAAGCAAAGAATCATTTTAATTACAAGTTAATTCCAGTCCTCTGTCCTTGCAACACATCTGGTGAAGTAAGAGAAAGCCCAAAGCTGCAGTGGGGCAGAGCATATAGTGGGGTTAGAGGAAGGGGTTCATCTGGGTGTCTGCTAGTTGCACAGTAACAGTCTCAGGATTGGCACACCTCCAGGTCTCGAGAATTTGTCCTGAGAATTGGTCAGCTGCATATCCTGAAAGTTGCTATACTTGGAGGTCATGGGGGCACGGGATATCAGTTGCAACATTCCACCATTATCAGTAAAGCACATCCAATGCCCACCAGCTAACTTCTGATTGGTTCTTTACCACAATGGAGATGCCTGGCAGGAAGTGTCATTTTGACATCCATAGTAGCTGTATAAGTTTGCAAAATATATTTCCCATAGGGAAACCAGAGGTATGTAGTTGAAGTTTTGCTCAGCTCTTGCCAGTCTAAGTTTTAAGTGTTTTTCAGTGACTTGAAATTCTTAGGCCTTATTATATTGCAATATTTAAGTTGGAAAGCTCATAATCACCTGCAACTCCATTTCCAGAGGATGCGACACTTGTTTTCTTGTAGGTCATCTATAAACACATGGAAGACATTTTCTCAAATGTATAAATGTGGGAATATATTTACTTTAGAAAGTTCTTGTGACTCATAAAGCAATTAGAGCATAACAAGTTGCTTTAGGTGTATGTACTCTTTTTTTAAAACTTATTTTTTATTTGATTGGAAAAGTTCTCATTTCCTTACTCTGCAGACATACAGGTAATCATCATATCATCTGTCTTAGGAAGCACAGTGTTGTTTATGTGATCTGAACAGGTATAATGTTCTTTATTATAAGGCAATGATATTCTTTTAGTAATTGAAACTATTTTCTACAGAGTTAAAGCATCAGAAAGCTTTAAGCAAATCTCCTCAGTTTTCATGGAACATGTGTACTCATCCAACCCATTTTCTATTATTGTCAAAGCACAGAACTGGAGTCCACAGGATGAGTGCTGGCGTGATTTCTTGTGGTTTAATTTTGTTTAGAAACTTGTTGCTCTTGTTTAAGGTACCATGCTATAAATTTGTAGGTCTGTCTTTGTGTCTTGTTTTGCCAGTGGTGCCTTATATGTTGTTGATTTCATTACTTTTATGTAAGTATATGTTGTTTCTCTGGAAAAATGATGTATCTTCACCATTTTTATTCAGAAAATTTTCTCTATTATGTTATTAGATCCATGATGTTTTTGTTGGTTTGAAAACTTTCTGTGGAAAGACAGGTTTTGTTGTTCTCTTCTTGATCAGAGGCTTGCTTTTTCCCATTTTTTTTACATACATGTTTTTCTGTTGCTTCTATCTTAATGTTTGAATTTTTGCTGCTTTAGTGATGAATATGGTTAATAAATTGATTTTTCTACTTTTAACATCTTCTCATATATTATTGTCTTCATCATAATTAGCTTCAACTGTAAACATAATTTAGCCTAGAATCACCTGAGGGAACATCGGTTGAGGCTTGAGGCTTTGCCCAGATCAGAACTGGTAATTACTATTTGTTGAAAAATTGTGTTGAGGAATGATTAGTATGGGTTGGTTCATCCACTGATGTTTCAATCTCCTAACTAAGTGACTAAGTGGGCCTGAGATGGATAAGAGATCTAGCCGTTTATGTGGTAGCAAAAGAGAAAGCCAGTATACAATGTTACCCTGTGGTTTGGCCTTTAGCTCTTAGCTTGAGTTTTTGTCCTAAGTTCCCACAATTGTGGGATGTGTTCTGGTAATATCTGCCAAATAAACTTGTTCATTACCTGAGATGCTTTTTGTTGGAGAATTTTATCATAGCTAGAAATAAGTAAGCCAGATCGAAATGTGGTAAGCCAAAAGTGATTTTGTAGCTGGTTGAATGTGAAAGTTGTCTTTTGGAGGCTTGTGGAAGGGTTTAGGTCTTTAGATAGCAAAAGCCAAAGAAAGCTGCACATTGGGCATAATTGGCTTTTCTTGTAGTACTAGGAATATGTGATTGTTGAAAGTAATGCAGACAGTGGAGCTTGAGGTCACAGGATTTCAGTGAAAAACATAATCCTTGAAAGTTTTGCTGGGGTCATTTGTATAATATTTTGTCCCCAAATCATTTCTACTTTATTCATTCCCTGGGAAATTGAGTAAGGCAAAATTAAAAAGTAATTGGCTGATGTCATAGACAAAGTATTGATTCTGTTGGGTGTTTATTACTAACGACTCATTCATGTCGACAGAGGAAAAGAAACAAGTGGTACAAAAAGAAGTGAAAAGCCAGTTTCATGGAGAAAAAGAGACTAGGTACTTTCAAATGTGGTGAAGCATAGGCAGGAAATAAGCAGCTTCATACAGAATCTGCTGTAACTCTGGTCCAAGTGTGGTGGTCTCTATCAAAACTTAGAAGCCAAATTTGGGGAGATAACCCATGTTGTACCCATTACAACCCATGACTAGATTGTCTAAGACCGTTGAGAATGAAGCCCACCTGTCTGAGACATAGCTACCAGATTTGGTTGCCCTGCTGAGTTTTATTCTTGCCTCGGTCTAATATTCCCTCTCCCTATGAACGTTTCCTTCTTTTTAAAAAATTATTCTTGTCATACAATATGTTCGAAATGGAGGATGCCCTCTCTCAAATCCTCTCCATCTCTCCACCAGATTCACTCCTCCACCATTTTCCTCCAGAAAAGAGGAGATATCCCAGGATACAAGTAAAG